TAATTGGTTTATCTTGTCAATCAACTGGCATGTTTTGTACAACCAACACTTCAATTCTAACCAAGCTATTTTGTTGAGCAGCAATATTACTTGCCGTGGAGCAATGAAGATACACTAAAGGAATCAAAGTGGCTAACCTGAAAAGGATAATCAAAGTGCATGTAGTCTAGTGGTTGCAGTGACCTGAGTAATACCCCAAGGTTCTGAGTTCAGATCTCCATAGGAGCGAATTTCAGATTGGGTTGTTTGCGGGGCTAAATTCCCTATTTCAATGGCCGTATATATCCAATTGGATGTAGAGGCCGGGTAAAAAATACCCTTCTCAAAAAAAAAAGTCTTTCCAATCTTATTTGCAAGAGGGATTAATCCAAATTACATAACTTGTCCAAACTGAAATGTCAAAAGGATCCCTTAAGAAACACATTTTGCTTGATCACTTATTTGTATGAACACAAAGAACATAGTGTGGTTAGGAAGAGAAGCTAGGCACAATAAGTAAGAAATTATTCTAAATCCAAACTAAGTATAACATATTCCCGCGGTACAAATTGATATTTTTCAGTACATATAATCTCGTGTAAATTGGTAATTTGACTATAAGTCTATAATCTCACAGGAACCCCATTACAAAAAAATTGAAAATTGACAACCTGCAGTAAAAAAAATTAAGCGAATAAAATTGGTTATACCTTCAATGCAGGGAAGGAGGTTATGTATTTTCACTGATCTGGTAACGGAGGATCACAGATATATGTCAATATATTCATTTATATACCTACCCGGAATAATCCATCAATAGTATATACAAGAATGACTGCAATGATGTCCTCCTCTGATCTTCGTGTCATTAGCAGAATAGTGTCAATAGAACAATCAATAATGGTCACCAAAGAAAATATTCTAAAAAACTTAAAAAGGCTCTCTGATTGGTCTAAAAATGTACCTACAACTTATGTGATGGGTGTTTTGAAGTTACCAGTTAGATTTCGTAGAGATTATATGCAGTTAATCAGAAAGTTTTGGTGGAGGGAGGAGCTGAATCAGAGGAAGGTCCATTGGATATATTGGCATGATTTAATTTCAACTGATATGCATGGCATAAGTTGAAATGAATAATAATAATAATGCCATATAGATTCCAATAAACACTGATGTTATTGTGTAACAAAAATATACTGCATATAAGTTAAGAGAGTGATTCCTACAAACGAGCAGCTTGGAATAGGCTGCTCATACAATGGAAGATGATTCTTAGGAACAAAAACTCTGAAACTGTACACAAACAGGACCAAAACAATTGAAATTATCTGCACAAAGAGGAGATATAATTCAAACCTGACTGGTCAAAGTTTTCAACCAGAGGAGTTTGTATGCATCGATATGCTAGATGATCAAAGAGATATTTTTTCGAAGATCCTCACTAACTGGTTCATGTCTCAACCCCAACCTTACTATAACCCATCATGAGCCACTGGTTCAAATGTGCTTTCAATGGGCTCCTATATTTCCTGAAACAGCCATCCACTGTTTTTCCTTTTTGATAGCAGTCAATGACAAGTTCAATGGAATAAAGCGAGAACCATTAGGAGTAAATTGTTTTATTACCATCATGTTGTTTACACTGAGTAAGGGAAGACCCAATTCCTCTTGATCTCTTTTCACTGGGAAAAAAAATCCATCAAGCAGCTACTCGTAATGAGAAAGGGCTCCCAACCAGGGATGTACAGAACATGAATAGAAATCAGGTTCATGTAGGATTTTCTTTTAATCATTAGAAGAAAACATTGTAGAATTCTCAAAAGAACATAAATAAAAGCTCACTGGTACAGATAACAAGAGCTAGTGTCCGTCCGTCAGTCCCGATCTCTTTCTCTCTAGTGAGCTGAGCTCCACTTTTCACAACTTCTGCATATTGGAGTAGTAGACAGTGAAACCAAAAATCAAGGATTGATCATTTTGCGTGAATGAATACCCAGATTGTTTTCTTAAAAAAAGAGAAAACATGGACTTATTATTGAGGACACTACCACTGGAAGTCTCAGCTAGTGATACTTTATTTGTTAAGGTCATGACTAACTCAACCCAAGAGCAGGTATATGCAGTTGGGCAGTGTTGTGCTGACACTGATATTAGTATCTACAAGAGGTGTGTCACCAAGTCATTACATGACATGCAACAAGTATGTGCTTCAAAGATGGATGCTATGACATTTTACAACTTATGAAGCCTCCGAATTTCTGATGATCTTATGTTCAATATTACACATGGCATGACTACTATAGGTATACATAATGACCCTCCTTTATGTCGGTCAAAACAATTTGTTTAGAATGGTGATTATGTTATTTGTTGATACTCTGGCAAGATAGTCAGCGTACTTATTACAAAGATTTGTTACAGGACAAGAAAATATCATAGGAAATGGATATAACTTTATCATGTATGGCTTCGCACAATGCTCACTTGAGTTAAATCGTTCAGAGTGTCAAACTTGTTTGGGATTTATACCCTCTACTCTACATTTTAATAGGTAAACATGTGAGAGAAGAGCAACAATATGGTGCAATTTGTGATGTCACGATATCCTTTCTTCACATACCTTCCAACGTTGAACCAACTCACTTATCAGGCTACACTTAAAGGTAAGAGATGCAAAACTGATCCGTGTTTGAAAATTTATTTATGCATGATGGTCTATTGCTATACATTGATTATAATATTGTCAGTTTATAGTTCAAAACTAGCTTTTAGGGGTCTAATTCCCACTCGGTGTAAAATTGAAAGGGGGCCAAAGCCCCCACTCGCTGATAATTTTTTTTGGAAAATTTTCAATTAAGCAATAAAAATACAGTAGGTTCTCTGGATCTCCCATTATATTTGAGAGATGAAGTGAATAATTCAAATCATCAAACAAACATAATGAAATATCCGATGCCTCGAGAGAAAAATATTGGAGACATTGCTGGGCCTTTAGCCTGCCAGTCAACTTCAGTCTTATATGTACCCGTCAAACCACTCGAAGGTGGCGACCAGATGTGTTACACATTCAAGAGACCTGACAAAATGGCTAAAGATCTACAACATCTCAAATATTCTTAACTCATACTCATGTGAATCTAGTTCCCAGGATTTGCACTCACACTTTCATCTCAAGCATAGTTATTCATAGCAAATACATCTAAAGCAAATAAAATTAAGATTACAACTACTTAATAGTTACATGGGTCGACTAGCCAAATATAGACATTTCAGAGAACAACGGAAGCTTGTCTACCCAAACACAAGCACACGGACTAGCGGTTTACCCCCATTAAGTTCAAATCCTAGAAGAAGCAGTCAAAACCCCGCATCACTCAAATTAAACAAAGTCTATTCCTACAAAACATAAATTAGACAAAACATGGCAAGAGTGTACTGGCAATAGCACTATCAAACCTACATATATAAAAGCTTTAAGTCAAAGGAAGGCTATTTGTTGTCTCAATTTTTAGCATAAAGCAAATTTTAGTTCACAAACATTTTGGAAAACATATTTAGGCAAGACATCTTAGCAAAATGTAAAGCATAATAATCATGGCATGGTCAACATAAGTAGATAAGCATCATTCCCTTACCACCCAACCGGAAGTAAGGTAATCATACCACATATATAACAATCTCATTATTATCTCAAAATATTTAGTTTCAAAAGCATCTAGAAAACACAAGATTATACCCATAGCACATCATGTCGCTCATGACCGCGAGCACAGCTAGTCGATAAGTTTCTAGAACTCTGCAGAGTTTGTACAGCTTTACCCACATGATATGAACACAAGGGCGGATAGAGTGAATTTTGCAGCAAATGGGGGCAAATGCCCCCTTGACACTTTTTTACTTCTAAGTCTACCTGAGCGATAGATCATTGGCCCCCACTCATGCTACTTTCTGCCTCTGCCTGGCCCCCACTCATTCTATTTTCTTCGCCCCAGTCTACCTGAGCGATAGATCATTGGCCCCCACTCATACTACTTTCTGCCTCTGCCTGGCCCCCACTCATTCTATTTTCTTCGCCCCTAGCAGAACTTAATTACCAGGCCAGCAGCAGAAGTCGATCGACGCAACTCTCCTCAATCGCCCCCTCGCTCACAACCGTCCTGCAGCGCGCGGATCCTTACGCCTGATCAGATGCGATAATTAAGCGGATCGATCTGCACCGTACCACGCCGGCGGCACTAATGACAGAGGAAAGTGTTAGATGGAGAATCAGCCGGTTGCGTTGGATATATAGATATACTAATGACAGAAGTGTTCGATGGAGAATCAGCCGGCTACGTTGGATATACAGATATATTAATGATAGAGGAAAGTGTTAAATGTAGAATCAGCCGGCTGGCATTGGATATACAGATATATATGCATCTCGCTCTCTCACCTGCAGATCCGGCCGGCTAGCAGTAGAGGCGACCTTCAGATCTAACAGCAGAGACGACCTTCAGATCTATCTGGCCGGCTAGCAGCAGAGGCGACGAGTCCTTAAGAGGAAGGGATCCGGCGGGAAATTAATTCCTCCTTAAAACAATCAATTTGTGTTTGCATTTTATTTGTCAATGGCAATTCAGTAGTAATTGTGTATAGCAATTCAGTAATAATTGTGTATAGATCATACAAACGACGTTGGAAAAAAAAGAAAAAGGAAAAAAAGAAAAAAGAAAAAGACGAGGAACCGAGGAAATAAATGGCCACTAATGTAATTGAGAACACTGACGAAATAAACTAGAAGAATAATCGGGCCTCTACACAGCCAAAGTCAAATAGATAAAATCTAAAATGTATATATTCTATAATTGGGGAAGATGGCATGGTAAAAAGGTAAAGTGCACATAAAGAAAAGCATTTAGAAGAAAAATCAATTATGATCAACCGGCATGGTAAGCATGAAGTACTATAGAAGCACATCGTGAAAAGGTACAAAAATCAATATTTTGGCTGTCAGACAGGAAAGGCATACCACAAATTTCTGCTTTGAAGAACTAAGCTTCAAACTATTTTTATCTTAAACACAAACAAGTCTTTAATGCGGGGAGCTTGATATGTGGTCATTTCTATCATCAGAAAGAGGTTACAACATAAAATATAAGATATCAACGCTGTCAATTCAGAACCACGGGAGCAGATTGCTGCCTGCACTGCTTGTGTACTTGAAAGAACCAAGTATCAGAAATACAAACAGTAGCTTTTAGGAGATGGAACTAACAAAATGTGCATCCTGAACTGAAAGCTTTATGTCACAAGAAACCTTGCAGATCAACTAAAAAAAAATAAAAGGGGAGCTAAAGCAGTCTCATTTCTTAAGTGCATTCATCCTGTCCCGCAGGTAATACAACTTTGCTCTCCTGACTTTCTTCCTGTCCAAGACCTTGATTTCCTTGATGTTTGGAGAGTAACTGAGCACAAGAGAAAAGTTGCATCAAGAAAGACAAAAGACAAAACAAAATGAATCAGGTGTAATGATATCTTTCATATTTGATTTCAGCAACTTATGATAATTTTGTATGAAAAATTCAGATGAACTACAAAACAAGGAAGAAATATTGAGTAAATACATGAAAACATCCTATTGCATTACTTCCATTCTACAAATATACCCACAGCACCGCAGGGGTTAAGGAATATATGTTTGCAGGGGTGAAAATTGCAGTTTCGTGAGAGACATGCATATTTATGAAACTACAAGCTCCATGTGCAATGGAGCTCAAACAACACAGGAATTTATTGCACATCTGTACTATAGGTATCAAATCTCCACATTCACTTTCTTAGGATTTTGTTAACCAGGTATTTATCAATATATATATATGATTAAGAAAGTTATACATGGTTTTACAGAATGCAAACAATGAAGGTAGTGTCAGCATGCCACTGTTATCATCAGCCTATCAGGGATATGAGGAAGCCAAAGGATACCCAAGAAACAGACACCAACTTTAAATGAGCATTTCCAAAATTTGCAAGGAACTAACTACACTTCTAATGCAAAATAACATGCATATAGTTCTATGTGCACTTGTGGCCATATGGAACTGAATGTTTGTTTATGCACAATCAAAGAAAAATGATCCTGTCTGCCAAGCAAAAGACTAGTGGAGAATAGCCTGCTCAAACCTTTAAGTATTAAGCATGATGCAAGGCTCTCAAATTTGAATGAGCAATCAGTCTCATGCAGTAATAGAATAGCAAAAAACAATAAGTGCCAATTTCTATATGCACTTTAAAAAAAAGAATGAAGAAAGGGAAGCGAATATTCGCTCACTTACAGTGGAAAGACAGACTCGACTCCAACACCAGCTACTAATCTACGCAGTCTGAAAGTTGTATTGATCCCAGCATTACGTCTTCCTATGACAATGCCTTTCAACGTAGACTCACGACGCTTGTTCTCAGGAACTTGCTGTTGACACACATAATCAGAACAACAGACATGACGGAGCAGGCAAATACCAGTAGTAAACTGAGGATGCAGATGCTTACCAATCTCATTTGGATAATACATCCAGGCTGCACATCAGGAATCTCTCTTTCCCCACGGACCTTGTCAACAGCCTCCTTGTTCAAGATCTGTAACGCAAAATAACAAATATATCGAGCCGCTTGAGGCGCTGATTTTAACAATACTGTTAAAATGAATGTCATATGATTCCTTTGCATAATACTAGGCTTACATTCATAATGTGCCTGGCCGTCTTGTCAGGCCTCTTAAACTTGATGCGCGGAGGATGCTCGACTCCTGGAGAGTCAGAACTTTCCTCCTCGACAGAAACCTCAGCACTCCCCACTGTTGATAGACCCCTCATTGGCATGGTATTCACGCAGAACCCATGGGAATGAACACTATCACCGGAGACGATTGAGTTCTGCGCATCAAGAAATCGAAGCGACAGGCATGACCAAAATTAGCAGGATCACCGACAGCAAAAGGGAAACAGACCCAACTCATAGCATATCCCAGATGCAAAAACACGCACCCCAAATGGACGAATCCAGCTGCAAGAACTCAGGTGCTTGATGGACAGCAGGTTAGCACCCGACTGCGCGACTCCAGAAGCTGCACGGTCCAAGAGCTTCGCCGCGGAGCCATGGCTTCCGGCAAGATAGACGCGCCGCAGCAGAGACTGCATCGTGTATCCTCTACTACTACTACTACCCTGCACAGATAAACCTACGCGTGAGCCGAGATAAGTAAAAGAAAAATCCCCAAAAAAAAAACTGGTTATTTCTACTGCATCACGCATCGAAGAAATCGGCGACAAATCCGACGATCTAATCCATAGGGGAATAATTATCATGGTTTGCGAATTAAAAAAAAAAAGAGACAGCCCAGAAGTTCTAAAACCTCACAAAAATTCAGACCCAGTGAAGAGCTCGTGGTCATTCCGTGGGGCGGAGGAGGATGAGGAGGGAGGCTAGGAGAGGAAGAATACCTTCGATTCGAGGCGAGATGGAGCCCGGTGGTGGGAAGGAGGCGCGCGCTCCGGCCGCCGCCGCCGCCGCCGTCGCGTGGGAGGGGAGGGGAGGGGATGGAAGGAGGCGGAAGGGAGAAGGGAAGAACCGAAGAAATTTGATAATCTGGTACATTGGTTGATGGGCTGGAGAAAGCCCAACAAATCTCGCTGCCGTTGGAAAAAGTCCACTTTAGATCCCAAATTATATATGGTCGAGTTCTTTTCATGTCCGTAAACCATAAAATCAGGTATAGTAGGGAGCCCGCGAATTGCAACGGCTAAAAAATAAAATAACAATAACCATTAATTCATCGTTCAATTTTCATGATTTAAAAAAGCATTTATTCACTTAGAGAAAAAAAAGATAGGATTTCACCACCAGAAGAAATTTATTTATTCTTTGGCTTTAAAGAGTGAAGATAAAACCAATAAAATTTCTATTAAACTGAGAGAAATGCTACCCTTTGTGTTATGGACCATGCAAGCTTCTATGTAGACGAGAATGTTAACATAAGCTTCTATGTAAACTGAGAAAAATGCTGTCGCATAATTTGCATACAAATAGAATTTCCATCGAGAAATCTTTGCTACAACTTCACTTCTAATGAACATGCTAATCTCTCTCCATGTCTCCAGCTAGTGCCATAAGCTCCCACTCCCACACCCCCACATAATCCATCAACTCTTTTTTCCTGGCAAGTGGCTAGTAAACCAAGGCCACACGCTAGAGTGATCTAGGGCCTGCCCAAATGAAATGACATGAAAAGCCACATGAAGAACTTTGGGAGCACGATAGTTCTTCATTAATATCTGCTTTAGGCCTTGTTCGGTTGGGCCGTTCCCGGCCGGGATCGGGGCCCAATCCCCGTGGATCACCTCGGCAAGGAAAAAATCCCGGCCCATGTGAAATTGTGCATTCGGTTAAGCCCTGACGTGGATTTTAGCCTGGCCCACCACGGGGTTTCCCTCTTCTCTAGGCCCGGGAAAAAATCATCTACTCCTGGGGCGTGGAAAATTTCCTCGGCGGCGCAACGAAGACGCGACGGAGGGGGCGGCGCGCGGCGCGACCTGGAGGCGATGGCGACAGCGACGGGAAGGCTCTCTCCTCCGGCCGCCACCTTCTCTCCGGTGAGCACGCTGCCTTTCCCCTTCTCCCCTCCTCTTGCAAAGCTAGGGTTAGGGTTTTTTTCTCTTCTCCCTTTCCCGTCGTCACCGCCATCTCTCTTCTCGCCGTGCGGCTTTCTGGTGAGTGAGCACTCAGTGATTCGTCGTCCTCCTCCTCGTATCCTGCTCGATCTGGTGAGTTCTTGATTTGGGCGTGGAGCTTTTTTTCTTGGTTGGGTGGGGATGAGTTCTTGATTTGCCGCCGCCGCCACACCGCACAACTCTTGTTCTTGATTTGAGTTCTTGATTCACGGTGGCTTTGAGGCAGCAGATGGCGAGAGCGAGAGCTGTACGGTGACTATGGAAACATGCTTGCCTTGATTAGTTTTGCTTAGTGTGGCTGATGATGTGATGCTTGCCTGAGCGTGTCTTGTAAAATTGACTACAAGTTTTTATGGATGTTTCGGTAGGTGATGAACCTGATGAAAGAATGTTTTTTGAGGTACCGTGTGGCTCTAGCTATGTGCTTCATTATTACTGTGTTGTCAAGGCTGAATTGTGCTTCCACACATTCTAATTTTCAGAGAGAGAAACTAGAAGAAGGTTGAGGTGGTCATCCTTTTCTACATTCACCATATATCTGTCTATCCACTATATATGATTTCTGCATCCTCTCTTAAAATTCAGGCAACTCAAAATTCACATATGTTATAGCTCAATCTTATATTTGTCCAGAGAATCTTCTCACATTACAAATGCAGTGATTGCTTGATTAATCTACTTATGATGCGCTGTTTCTGACTCTGAAACTGCTTGCTCTTCTTTTATCTCCATTGCTTGTTGTGAAACTGCAGCACACTTGTATAGCTGCACCTACAAAGTAGTGCTTGTTCCAGAAAAACAAAAGACAATTCACCGCTTTTTTGTTAGCTTCCTAGTTTCTGAACTGTTAGCATTCCATGTAGTGCATCAGCCTTAGTTTGGATATAAGTGTGGCTCTTTGCTTTACTTGTTTGCTCTTATGTAATATGTACTCTGCATCAGTTCAATTTGATATTTGGTTGACAGGAAAGAACATATATGGTGTATTTCTTTTTGGAATTGATCCAATGTTGCTCTATTTTTTTTTCAGAGATGGGAACACTGCAGCTGGTGACTGAAGCTCATGGTGGCATTAGCGCTAAGCTTAAACACTTGCATTCAATTTGTAGTTTAGCTCCTAGCTGGCTACTTCTATTTATTCTAAAAAAACAACTGAACTGTAACCATTTTGATTACTTTGTGACACTTTCATGTATGCATTTGTGAACGTACAGCATGCATGTGTGTTTTCCCTGTACTTAAACAATGTTTTTTTTACCGGATTTGATCTGAGAGAATGCATATTGTTTCATTGCTTGCTTGGAAACGTACAACAGCTGCTTTATTTTTCCCTGTGCTAAACGAAGGCAGGGTTTCTATGACAGGGATTAGAAACGGGCAGGAATTCAAACCCCACATGGTTTGAGTGAGATGGGAGGGATTCACTCAATCCCTCCCTGGATAGGATCCCTTGGGGATTAATTCCCAAGCAACCGAACAAGGCCTTACTGGTCAAGTTGATCACTCAACACATCTATAAAGACTGAAATTATAATACCTTTGATCTTTTGACATCAATTTACTGGTCAGAACACAGCACACCTATAACACCAAGAGAACCAAAATTTGTTACCTTAAAGCAATTATTGGAACATTTAAATAAAAAGGAATGTATTGTGCAGTCCTATGTTTTGATAAACACATGAAATTGAAAATTTTGCAGTTTGATAGTTTGGAGCTAAAACTTGAGATTGTGCAGGCCTGCGTTCTGAGATGAATTAAGCTAGTAATGTGTGATGGGAAATAAACAGTGTGTTCATTAAAAAATAATAATAAACGGTGTGTTGTTTTTTATAGCATATTATTCGTTTTCCATGGAGCTAAGTAAGTAAGTTTTTATTTTCAAATTGTAATTCGAGAGCACGAAATATTGTATTATTATTCAGTCGAACTGATTTTCTAACGCATGCTTAAACTGCAAAATTCAAATATATACCAGGAACCGACAAAATAATAATAATTATATATATTCTCGATCGACCAATTTCTTGGTCTTACATACAAACGAAACAATCAACAACTAAATAGTAGTACGACATCGCGGCAATGGCGCTAGCTAGACCCTAGCCGCGCTTCGCCGCCGGCCGCCGCGCGCGCACGCTGACGACGGCGACGTCGTCGATCACCGGCCCGCAGAGCGAGCTCATGTCGTCGCTCCTGGTGCTGTAGAACGAGCTGAAGAACACGACGCGGGTGCGCGCCGCGGCGGCGCGGAACGGCAGCACGGCGCGCTTGGCGGCGCCGCCGCGGCCAGCCGACTCGTGCGCCACCCTGGTGGACTCCCTCCCGGCGTACGCCTCCACCACCAGCGACCCCTCGCAGCCGTTGCTGGCGTCGCCGACGGTGAACGACAGCGCGTACTGCCTCCCGGGGACGGTGCGGATCACCTGCGCGATCGCGCTCTCCCGCCCCGCCAGCAGCTCGACAGCGCGCCGCCCGCGCGGCACCGCGAAGTGGTCGCTGTCGATGTACTTCACCGCCTTGAGCGACTCCACCATCCACCCCGGCAGCGGCGAGTGCTCGTCCACCACCATGGACGGGATCAGCACCCCCCACCTAGTCCCCGGGATGATGTACGGGCCCTCCTCGAAGTCCCCGTTCTTCACCAGGTTCTCTGCGACACCCGGACGAACACCTTGTCAGCAAACCAAACCACGACGAGGCACACGTTCATGGCGCGGCGAAAGAGACGTACTGTTGGTGCGGCGAGGAGGGTTGAGGGTGCGGATGGCGACGGAGTCGATGAGGGGGCCGCAGGCGGGGTCCTCGGTGACGCCGGGGTTGTGGATGACGACGTCGAACGCGTCGGCGGCGGCATCCCAGGCCCAGGCGTACGAGTCCCAGCCGTTGCTGCTGTACATGGTCTGCATGGGGAGCACCGCCCACTGCCCCGACGCCGACACGTTCAGCCGCTCCGCCTGCGCGCACGTCCGCGCCGCGCTGAACGTGAGCGCGTACCGCGCGCCGCGCGCCGCGCCGGCGAGCCGCTGCCGGATCGACGCCTCGTTCCCGAGCCGCACCGCGTGGCTCCCCTCGGGGACCACCAGCACCATGTCCCCCTGCTTCCTCCCCGACGGGATGTACTCCACGAACCCCGACGTCCGCCACGACGGGATCGCCGACGCGCCGACCACCCGCGTCCCGCGCAGCTGCGACGGCGCCGGCCCGCGCTCGAAGTTGCCGTTCGCCAGCAGCCCTGCACCTCGCCGCCGGCGAGCGTTACACACGCGGAAACGAACGCATCAAACCAAACCAAAAGGCATGCGCGTTACCGTCGGTGATGGCGGCGAGCGCCGTTCCGCTCGCCGCCGCGCAGAGCACCACCATTAGCAGCAGCAGCGACGCCGAGCCGGCCGCCATGGCTAGCCTGGCCGGAGATGGAGGAGATGACCGGTGGAAGAGAGCTCTGAGTTCTTGGAAATGGTGACCTGACCTGACCGGACGAGTGATGTCCGGTGCTTAAATGGATGCCGCCGTGACGAAAATGCCCCTCGATTGGCACAGAATTTACCATTCTGCCACTGGAGTGGCGTTTCCTTGGTGTCAGATCAAGTAACGTGAGGTGAGGTATTTGATGATGCAGGGGTCAAGAACATGAGTCCATGTTCACTTTCTTTAACTAATCTCTCATCAAATTTTATCAGCATCTTCAGGGTTGGCGTTATGCAACAACCTCTGAACTTTTGTACCATTACAGGATTTGAGATTAACTTGTCTCACAATTTCCAGAAAAGCTCTGAGATCAGTGTCCTAGGCTGTTAAATTTTGGACAATTTTGAATCTGTATAAGGTCTGCAATAGCTTGAACATCAGTTGTTTCGTTTGGTCTATTTCATATCCTGATCTGGACAGAAAGCTCTGGCTGTGTTTAGTTCCACGTCAAAATTGAAAGTTTAACTAAAATTGAAAGTTTGAAGAAAAAAGTTGGAAGTTTATGTATGTAGGAAAGTTTTTATGTAATGTAAAAGTTGGAGGTTTGAAGAAAAAGTTAGAAACTAAACTCGGCCTCAGTTAAAGTACTTGTTATCCCATCCAAGATCTGTACTCTTTCCAAGCTGTAATTCGCATCTGATTGTTTGAGCACGTTTTCTGCATCAGTGTGCTGCTGAGCTTGCATGCACATCATGCAGAGCAGATGGAGAACTTCTCTGTGATGCTCTCCCATCTTTTATGGGACCAATCTAATGACGAAAGAACAAGGAGCATAGCATTAGGGGAATCATTTACATGGGGCAATTATGAGTACTCCATGTGATGTTGCCAAGAACTTTGTTTCAAGGGGCTCTTTGGCCATTTCCCTCTCTGCCTCCCAATCCACCGACTATTTCATCTATCTAATTTTACCATATAGGATACAGCAATCAGAATTACCATGGATTTGATTTTCTCTGAATTTTACCATGCAAGAAAACAGATTTACCATGGCCGGATACATCTTGATGTAGAGGCTGGATTGAATTCCATTATTGAGAAGGGAAAAAAAATATCAGTATTATTCTAGACAGATGTCGTGTCAGTACAGAGCATATCTTTTCCGCTCAAATCGATCAGCCTCCGTTATATTTTCACACTCACAGTTTAACTACAATGTGATTTTGATTAGTACACGGTGACCTGGCCTCTTCGATCCATTGATCTGTTTGACACTTGTAACACCAAGCATGCATCAAGAACAAGATAAAGACTTTCGTTCAAAAAAAAAAAGAACAAGATAAAGACTGCAAGACGCAATTATTCAGAGTATTGCACTGTGATCACGAGGGCACGAGTACATTAATACTTCATGACTGACCCATCTTGTTCTTCTGATATGCCTTCAAATCAAGAACTAATTAACTATCACTGTACTTTAATCTTTCATAATCCCCTCTCTCTCACAGCAGCAGGTCGGCATGGACGTACTGCAGTCCATGCATGTGAGCTCCTCTGGAATTATCATGTGCATGGAGTTCATCAAAAGGCTGGGCCTCTGAATGCATGTGCACTTGCAATGTTGGATTTATGTTAAGACCTTATCTGCATGTGTACATGTGTCTGTGCTTCCTAGGTCTTTGCATGACCAGTTCTTGACACATACCTCATGGCTCCAAGGAGATGTACCTGATGGGCAGCCTTGGAGCCTGGTTAAGATTGGAGTTTTCTCTCTGAATCCTTGGAATTCAGCTAAAGTTTATGAGAGTGAATGATTTTTTGGCACTGTTAGGACCCTTCTAGTGGCTCTCACACTACTTTTTTTTCGACGCAGGAGAGCTGCATGTCATTTCATTTTTTTTTCTCCCTCCTCTTACACTGCTCGTCTAATGTTTCAGTACTCTTGGCAAATTTGGCATTTTGATTTTTTTTTTTGGGGAATACACAAAAGGATTGCGCACTTTTGTATTAAGCATTTTGATTTTTCTTTTACCTGAACTCTGTTTTCTGTTTTTTCTTTGGTTTTGTGGGGCAGATCATTCATTCAATTACAGTAGCCTTCAAGGCATAGAGTAAAGGCAGTCTGAAGAGAGTAGGAGGATGCAATAACTAGCAGCCTGTAAATATCCAAGAATCCACAGTGGCACAGTGTATCCAGGACAGGTATTCCTGAATCAGTGAAACTGCAAGTTTGGATCTTGGTGAGCATGATGGATGAGAGAGACCAACAAGACCATATTCAATCACTCAAGGGTTGAGCAGGTATGGGGGTCCATGTTGGAGAGTCTCATGAAACTGTGGCTCTCACTCCACTCCTTTCTTGATTCAAGTGTTTGCTTGGTTTATTATGGTCACAAGAGGAGTGTGCAGTGCATGTGCATGAGACTGCATTGCAGAACAAGTGAACAGCCATTTTGTGGTTCCACTGTCTGTTCAATAGTATTTCTCACCCTGTTTTTCTTTTATCATGTCTCCTTGGGTGTATTATTACTGATGAGATGAAATTATGAGCACTGATGGACATGCCTTTTGGATCTCATGAGATCAAATTCATGACGCTTACTGGAGAGTATTTGTATTTTTCAAGGAATGGAATGATGGGTGAATGCGCCACGTTTTCCCAAGCTTGTAGGCTATGCGACTTTTGCAAAAACTTTCTATATATGGATTTCTTAGGGAACTGTTTTAAATCTATTTTGCAACTTTTAAAATATTTAATTCATTCGTTTGTAGTTGTACCCCAAATAATTATCACAAATTATTTAGCCATTCAAATTGTCTCATAGGATATATTTTCCTGGTTACAGACTTGTAGGTTGTAATAGTAGCAAGTAGTGATTGTGATGAAGT